GAGAGGAGGTTTGCGAAAGGGAGGTTTGTCCACCGCCGACTGCTGGCGTCGCCCTGGAGGCCTGTGAGCGGCCTCTCTGTGCTGCTGCTCGCAAGCGGATCAGCTCGAGCGAGATGGCAACGGGGACAGTTTTTCATCCCAAGTCGTTTTGTTTGCGGTCCTGGGGCCCGCGAAGGGTTGCCGCTCGGCGATGAGGTTTTGCGTGCTCCGGTAGTGAGCAGCTCTGCAGGAATGTCGGGAAGCCCGGCCTCGAGTGCTGATCCCGGAGTCCTCCGAAGCCCCCCCGAGGCCGAGCTCCCCGAATTCGGTTCCCGCGGATGATTTCAAACGCACAGATCTTCGGACATTGTCATTTTGCGATGGTCTATGGGCTTCCAATAACCCGGATCATGGGAAACCCATAGACCATCGCTGAGTGCCCGTTTTCCGAGGCCCTATGGGATATCCAATAACTCGTGTTAAAAAGGCCCCTAACCTTCTGTGGTGATTCCTGTTCCGGTGGCGAGCCCAGGGGGGGAGTGAGTGGGGGCAGGCTTTCTCAGCAGGCAGTGAGGCTCCTCAGAAGCCCTCCGGCCTTCTGAGAACCCCCCACGCTTTCTGGTAGGCCGTTTCTGATTTCGGAGAAGGCTTATCCCGAGTTTCTCATCAGGCGTGAGGGCTTCTGAGAAGCCCCGCCGCCTTTGAGAAGGCCTGACCCCTCCCACTTCCCACCCGGGGTCGCCGCTGACTGTCCTGAGCGCAAGAAAGTCTGGGACGCCCCGAGCCGATCCGATGCCGCGGCTCGCTGCCGGCGGCTCCTGCCAGGACGCTGGCCTGACCTGCGCTCGGCGCGGCCTGCCCTGGCTCGTGGGGGGCGACGCCCTGGACGTCCAGGACGGGGGTTCCCGAGTGGGGTCCGAGTAGGCGTGGTCGGAGGCTCGCGCCGCATCGCCGATGCATCGGCGATGCGCTGCGATGTGGGGCCCGATGGTTGTTCCACGCCGGCGTCGCCGATGCATCGCCAGCGTCGCCGACGCATGCATTGCCGATGCTTCGGTGTTGCATCGACGAGGCAGCGCGGTCCTCCCACCCCACCTGTCACCACCCACCAGACCACCCGAACGAACCCAGCCCGAAAGCCCCATTTTTGTCTTCCCTTCCCAGCGGGGGGTGCGCCAGGGAGCACTGGGACCCGTGCCCCCCTCAACCCGAATGTTTGGGTCCTCGAGTCGGGTTGTGGCGGTCTGGCGCGTGGGTCGTCACTCTGCTCTGGCCCCATCTGGGAGGCCTCTGAGGACACCCTCACGTTCATCGCGTGGCGCCGACCGGCCCCCAAGCTCGGAGGAGAGCCAGCCGAGGCAACGCGGCCCTCCAGGGGTCTCTGTGCTGGTCCTTCTCGTGCCTTCTCGAGGCTTCTCGTCGCCACGGCCAAGTCCCCCTCGAGGCCAAGGCCCCCGACGTCGTGACCGTGACTCTCCACGCCGTGGACCCCTGGAGGCCTGGGCACCCTCGCGAGAGATTTGCAGCCCGAGCGGGCTGTGGACTGTCCTGGGGCCCAGCGGGGGCCCCCAGAGGCCGAGCATCGGCTCACGCGCACGCAACTCCCGCCACGACTTTTTTCTTTTCACGACGCCAGGGGTCTGGGACAAAGACGGTGATCGATGGACTGGGCCCTGGGAGGAGCCCGGGGTCCGGTGCTGCGCCGACTTGGGCCGGGCGCGGGCGGGCCGCTGCCGCCTCGGCCTGGCCCTTCGCCGACGAGCTCGGCTCGACCGCTCGACCCTCCGCCCTCGAGCGTGGGCTCCTCTGGCCCCGAGGCCCCGAAGCGTGGGCTCCTCGGGCTGCCGTCAGAACAGTGACTCCTGCACGCAGCCGACGCGCGACGGAAGGGCCCGAGGTGGCGCAAGAAAACGGAGGACGGACCCAGGAGCCACAGACAACGAGCGGAGGGGCACGAGCGACAGAAATGGGGCCACGAAACAGCGAGGGCCCCGAGGCAGCGTCGTGGCTGCTCGAGCATGGGCACCTTGATGGAGGCAGCCCTCCAGCTTTCGCGCCGAGGACCGCCACGCCGCTCTTCCCTCGCTCCCACTGGTGGATTCGCCCCGAAGTTTGACATTCGGGTCAGAAAGCATCCCTGGAGAGGGCCGTGGAGTAATCACAGTCGGCACGGATCAGTAGGTCGAACCTGCCAAATCAAGGAAACCGTTGTGTCCTGTGTCTCGCGTCCAATGCCTCCTTACCTTGCTATGGCAATGTGGCCCTCGGAGCCTCGGAAGGGTCTTGTGTCCTCTCGCGTGTCCTGTCCAATCAAGTCCGACTGTAGCGGTATCGGTACCCTTGCGTCCCCCCACCACCTGGCCCCGGGAACGTCAAAGGGCGATTCGGGATGAGACGTCGGTCCCCAGGAAGGTCCTTGGGGGTCTGGGTGTCGGAGGGTCTGTGGGTGCCGCTGCCCTCTCTTGTGCCCTCGGGGGCCGCCTGTGGGGCCTCGTCGTCGGCGCTCCGAGTCGCTTCGAAGTTGTGGTCAGAAAACAGCATCGGGAGGTGGTGCCCACGAGGGTGCGGCGCGAGGGGGGCAGTCTTCTAAGATGGCGGAGGGGCTTCCTAGACGCCGGGGTCTCTCTTGGAAGGGTGTGGGGAGGGGAAGCAGTCCGCAGCTTGCCTGCCCTCGTAAATCTGTGTTTCGGACTGCACTGGCGTCGATTGGCGTTTGTTAGCCGATGAGATAGCGCCTATTCAGCGACGATTGGCGTCGATTTCGCGTCGATTAGCGTCGACTCGCGTCGATTAGCGTCGATTCGCAAGAACCAGCAAATATGGTGTGGGAGGTTCCCAGGAGCTGCCACAGAAGGGGAGGGCATCCGCGCATTCGCGCTGCGGCGCGGATATGCCGCGAGGCGCGTGGCGCGGAGTTGGGTGACTCCCGGGTGCTCGGCAGCAGGACTGGGCCCGAGGGTGCGGGCCTTGCCGCCGAGGCAGCCAGGGCGCGGGGGTAGAGCCCCGCTGAGGCTCCTGGGGGTCAGAGGAGGAAAAAGGTACCCATACCACTATCCTTTCCTCGTTCTTCCATTTTTGGGCATCCTGGGAGGATCTCGTCGCCGCCGTTGGATTTGCCTCGAAATTCTAGTCATAACGCACCCAGGGAGAGGTCGGGGAGGAGCGGTATCGGCACCTTTTGGTCTCCCCAGGGAGGCTCCAGGTGTCGATGGTTCCACAGCGTGCGCCCCTGGAGGTCTGGACTCCTTTCAGCGGTCACTGAGGGACTCCAGAGGCCCCCCTCCTCCACCTCCCCCTCCTCCCCCTCCTCCTTCCTCCTCCTCCTCCTCCTCCTCCTCCTCCTCCTCATCCTCCCCCTTCCATTCCATTCCTCCTCCTCCTCCTCCTCCTCCTCCTCCTCCTCCTCCTCCTCCTCCTCCTCTTACTCCTCCTCATCCTCCCCCTTCCATTCCATTCCTCCTCCTCCTCCTGCGCCTCCTCCTCTTCTTCCGCCTCCTCCCCTTCCTCCTCCTCCTCCTCCTCTCTCCTTCCTCCCTCCTCCTCCACCTCCTCCGCTTCTGCTCCCGCCACTCCTCTCCTTCCCCCGAACCTCCTATTCCTCTCTCCCCCCTCCTCCGCCTCCTCCTACCCTTCTCCGCCTCCTCCGGCCCCCCATCCCCATCCTCCTCCTCCTCCTCCTCCTCCTCCTGGTCCTCCTCCTCCTCCTCCTCCTCCCTCCTCCTCCTCTCCCTCCTCCGCCTCCTCCTCCTTCCTCCTCCTCCCTCCATCGTTTTTGTTGTCGCAGTGCGATGAGGTCAGGGTGCGTCTGGCCGCGCCCGAGTGGTCGTCGGGTCGAGTTCGGGGGTGCCCAGGTGCGGGCTGATCCTCTCCTTCTGCTGCGCCCGCAGCTGCGGGGCGATCCGGGGAGGCGCCTCTGGACAGCGCCCCAGCGTCAGCATGAGGCATCGGGAGGGTTGAACTGGTGGCAGGGGATAATGGGCCTGTTTTGGGGTAAGGAGGAGGAGGAGGACGAGGAGGAGGAGGAGGAGGAGGAGGAAAAGGCGGAGGATGAGGACCCCTTCCCCCTCCAGCTTATGGTGGTATTGGTTGTGTTGCAAAACAGGCCCATCAGGGTAGGGTGGAGGTTCGCGGAGGCTCGTCGTCGACGACCTTGTTTCAGAGATTTTGCGGGGTGGTCTGGGGATTCTCGTCGCCACGTCTGGACGTTGCTCGAAAAATTGGACCAGACTCTCCAGGGAGGTCCAGGGATCGACTTTGATTGGTTTTCGAGGGATCAGCATGAATCTGAAGGGAAACCTGTGGGACCGAAATGCCGACAGCATTTTGAGCTGGACTCGCTGTCGTTGTCGCCGCGGGCATTGCTTATTTTTGACAAACAAGGTCGCCTGTCCAGCACTGGCCGCTATCGGTTAGGCAGTCCAGGAAAACACATTTGCATTAACACGAATGTTCGGAGGGCCGCGCGGATATCCATGGTCGGCGCTGGACCCCACTGGCGGCGCCTCCGGCGTCGCCCCTGCCGGGGGGAGGCGGGTCCAGCGCCGATCCAAGAAATCCGCGCGTACCTCCGAAAGTTGACAGTCAACGCGCTTGGTAAGCGTGAGCATGTTTCCCATGGATGCCCTTGCATCCTTGCCTCCTCCGCCCGCCCTTGGCTAATTTCGTTGGCCGCGTGCCGCTGCAAGGATCCAGCATGCTTACCGCGCATCGTGATTCTACTCATTAGCTGTACGTCTATGTCTCAGGCCCGATGCCTATTTCTCCAGGCAGGTCCGGGAGCTGCGCTCGCAGCTGGCGCAGATCCCGACGGAGCCCCCGAGCAGGCCCGCTGCAGAGGGACCGCCGGCAGGAGCGCAGATCCGGCATGGTCAGACCCGTCCCGCATCCCTGACTGGAAAGCCTTACTCGCGGAAGCGTCAGACTCGAGTAAGCCGGCACTCGGGCTTGCCTGCGTTTTTTGGCGAGCGCGTCCTGGAGTTTGACGGTCCAGTTTTCGTGGGATATTTGCAGCGGGAGCTCGCGTCACATTTCGGATTGGGTCTCGTCATTGTCATGATGGCTCCGTCAGGCCAACCCGAGTCCCCCGGACCCGAGTCTTACGTCTTCCCGATTTGGCCCTTGGCACCGCTGCAGGGTCCACATGAGCGGCGGAACAAAAACGCTCGTAAGCTGTCCGCGCAATGTCGCGCGCAAGCGCCCTCGTTTCCGTTTCCACTGCCGAGCTCCGCGCTGGCGGCCTGCATATATAAGCCGCCGCGTCAGGTCGCCACGCCGTCTCGCCTCAATCCCCTCTGCGGTTCGTCGCTCGTTTCGACCTGACCGATCCGTCTTTGTATCGATTCCAGCCTTAAGTCGGGCTTGTCCCTCTACAGGAGGAATACTCCCAAATAGTCCAACAATCAAGGCCTATTCTTTCCATCCAAAATGCAGATGTAGGAGGACATGCCCCACGCAATTCCAGCCGTCTGGGCCCGAACTGGTGCTGAGATTCAAACCATCCGATGCGGCACGATGCTCGCACGGCACTGCATTGCGCCCTGGCGCGGCCGATCCGTCATCCTCTCGACTCCGTGCCGAGGAAGCCCGGAGGAGCCCGCAGGAGCCCGGAGGAGGAGGAGGAGGCGGAGGAGGAGGAGGGGGAGGGGGAGGGGGACAAGCTAGGTGCGCTCGCGTCATATCTGACGTCCTACCCCTCCCTCCCATCCCTTACCATGGCGCTGATTTTCTCTATACGCGGACGAGTGTCGTAGCGGACCTGTGGCTCCGCGCGCTGCGTGCGTTTAACTAGCTAGTGGGTCGGTGGTTCCGTCTGCGTTGCGTGCGTGCTACGTTGTGTTGCGAGGTCTGTTGTGTGGTGGTGGTGCGGTGGTGGTGGGTGCTGTGGTCGGTGTTGGCGAGTCTTGCTGTCTGCAGGTCTGGTGGTGTTGGTGCTGGTAGCTGGGTGCTGGTCTGGTGCTGGTGCCTGGTGCTGCGCTGCTGGTGTTTTGGCTGGTGGTTGGTGGTTGTGCGCTGGTGGGGGTTCTGGTGGTTGGTCGGTGGGTGAGGTGGTTGCCGGTGGTGCGGCGCGGACCTGGCGGGCGTGATGGCGCGCAGGCGAAAGAGGCCCGCGCTGGGGCGAGAACGCCATCCTGAACGACGGAGGCCAAACACCGATCCGAAAATGAGGCCCACGCTGCAGCGGGAGCACGATTCGGAACGATTCGGGAGCAGAAATGAGGCCGGCGCCTCAGAGAGAGCAGCATTTTAGAAAAAACACAAGCGAAAACCCAACTCCGGGGAATCCTGTGTGTAAAAAAAAAGTACGCGGGGGGGTGCCGAATATCTTCCGGACGCCATCAGGAGAAGTGGGAGAGTATTTTCATATTGTGTAATTGTGGAGGAGGAGGAGGAGGAGGAGGGGGAGGAGTAGGAAGAGGAGGAGGAGGAGTAGGAGGAGGCGGAGGAGGAGGAGGAGAAGGAGGAGGAATCATAATAATAATAAGACGGCGAATAAGACGAGTAAGAAGACGAACCCTAATAATAATAATCATACGCATAATAATAATATTGATACGATTTAGACGAATACTACTAATACAATTAATAGTATTAATATTAAGAAGCATACTATTAATTAGCACTAACCAGAATAATGATAATGCGAATACGAGTAATCATACTACTAATAATAGGAATAATCATGACCATCACAATAATAATAATCATACTACTACTGATAATAATAATACTAATGAGCATACTAAGAAGAGGAGGAGGATGAGGAGGAGGAGCAGGAGGAGGAGGAGGAGGAGGAGGAGGAGGAGGGAGGATAGGGAGGAGGGAGGAGGGAGGATGGAGGAGGGGGGAGGAGAAGGAGGAAGGAGGAAGGAGGAAGGAGGAAGGAGGAAGGAGAAGGAGGAAGGAGGATGGAGGACGGAGGACGGAGGACGGAGGAGGGGGAGAAGGAGGAGGAGGGAGGAGGAGGAGGAGGAGGGAGGGAGGAGGAGGAGGAGGAGGAGGGGAGGAGGGGGGAGGGGGAGGAGGAGGAGGAGGAGGAGGCAGGGAGGGAGGAGGGGGGGGGGAGGGGGAGGGGGGAGGGGGAGGGGGTAGGGGGAGGGGGAAGGGAGGGGGGAGGGGGATGGGGATGGAGGGGGGGAGGGGAAGGAGGGAGGGAGGGGGGAGGCGGAGGGGATCGGGAGGGGAGGAGGAGGAGGAGGAGGAGGAAGGAGGAGTAGGAAGGAGATGAGGAGGAGGAGGAGGAGGATGAGGAGGAGAGAGAGGAGGAGGAGGAGGAGTGAGGAGGAGGAGGAGGAGGATGAGGAGAAGGAGGAGGCGGAGGCGGAGGCGGAGGCGGAGGCGAAGGCGGAGGAGGAGGAGGAGGAGGAGGAGGAAGAGAAGGCCGATCCGACGCACACTCCGACTCCATCCGATGCGATGCTGACGGATCGTGCCACTGGGAAAGCCCTGGCACCGCTGTCCGACCTGCCTCAGTACGTGGGCGGGGCTGTGCGCCCTCGTCGGGGCTTCGCGGCATCCACCCGCCCTCGAGGGCGCAGGGTGGCGGCGCTAAGGAACCCAGACCCACTGGGATTGGGGATAGGTTTAAGTCGGGCCTGTCCCTCTACAGGGGGAATAGTCCGAAATAGTCAAACAATAATATGGGGACGATTTGTTGAACTTTTTTTGGTCATGTTGGGGATGCTTTGACAATTTGTTCGTTCAACATCCCCCCGTTGGAGGACAGGCCCGACTCAATGGTGGTGCTGAGGAGCCCAGACCCATTAGGATTGGGGATGTGTCTGGCGCTGCTGAGGGATGGATCCCTAAAAACAGCGGATTGACCCCCCGCGGCCAGCGGTACCCCTCCCGTAATAAGAGTTGCAGCTCTTTCTCCTTCGCCTCTTCCTCGTCGTCTTCCTTCGCCTTCGCGTTCTGTTCTATTCAGCCAGCGCAGCGTCTCCCTCACTTCTGTTTGGGACTGCCTGAACTTATTTCTTGCCCACTCACTGGACGGCGTATGGCCGTGAGATTTTGGGGACGCCCGGAGATTTCTTGAGAGACACGACGTGGGCCTCGTAGTAGCGGCCCCCAGTGCGGCCGATCCGGGTGCATTGCGGGGCGGTATGAGGTCTTGGCATCGTTCGGACGTGAGATGTTTTGTTTGTCGGCGAGGACCATCGAGGACCATCGAGGAGCATCGTGAGTCATCTTGCGAGAAAACGGAGCACACGTGCGAAGCCGAACATTCACGGGGAATGGGCGTCCGAGCGATGGCGAGAGGTGGCAAGGCAAGCCGCGGCAGTCCGGGGCTTGGCAGAGATGGCTCCGACTCTTCGGGCTCGAGTCGGGGCCATGGGCCTGCTGCAGGATGGGGAGGAGGAGGGATGAGGAGGGAGAGGGCGAGGATGAGGATTGATGACGAGGACGAAGAGGGCAAGCAGGAGGGCAACATGGGGAGGCGGGAGAGGACTCAGATGGACAGGGGGGAGGGGAAGAGGATGAAATTCATTCTGCCCATTCTTGCCTCCCCAGCCCATTCTGCCCATTCTTTCTCCGTTTTCCTGCGTCTTCCAGCAGGAGAGAGAGGACGAGGATGAGGATTGATGATGAGGACGAGGGCAAGCAGGAGGGCAGAATTGGGAGGCGCAGGAGAGGGGAGGAAGAGGAGGAGGAGGAGGAGGAGGAGGAGGAGGAGGAGGAGGAGGAGGGAGCTGGACAGGTAAGGCAGAAGCTGACGCAGGTTGTGTCAGAGCGGTTTTGGGCAGCTGCGCCGCACCGTTGACAGAAGGGTCGACTGTCCTCACGGCGTGTGCTAGCCCAGTGTGCTTATTACCCCGCCTGGCTCCACGGAGGGCGCGCAGCTCGTGTCGGCCCTCACGCCGTTGCCTGCGTCGCACTGAAAGCCTCGAGTGGACACGCACGCAGGCGCCAAGACGCGTTTCGAGGCACGGGACGGAGAGGGGCTGGAGGAGTGGAGGGCGGGGGTGCGCTCGCCTGTTCGTCCCGCCGAGGAGGTGGCGGCTCCGCAGCGGAGACGGACCCAGGCTGTGTCTCAGGAGGGCGCCAACTCACCTGGGAGAAGGAACCAACTGCACCAGCATGCACCGCGCGGAGTTCTTGGATCGGCGCTGGGCCCCCACGGCGGCGCCTCTTCGGCGCCGCCCCTGGCTCGCTCCGCGCGACTGGGAGGGGCTTCCAGCGCCGACCCCAGCAGCCCGCGCGGACCTCCGACGGGTTCTTCGTGTCTGCCCAAGCCCCTGCAAACGGGGTGCTTGTGAACGGCGCACAGGTGCGAGGCAATCCCCCCCCCTTGAGATATGCTGCTGTGTCGACGATCTCATCGTCCTGGCTTCTCACGCACTCGTGCGACGTGACTGCCCTGACGCCGTGTGCTCGCTCGTAGGGGCCCCTCAGCTTCCACCCCGTTTACCAGCATCCCGCTCGCAGGGGCTCGGAGTCTGTGCAGTTGTTCTTTGTCCTTTCCTCGCCCAGCGCCGACCCTGGCTGGGCCCAGCCTGGGCCCTGGATCGGCACGGCCAGGGCTCGGCTCGACTACACAAAAGAGTGACCTTTCGCCGGAGTGACCTTTGGTGCGGGCACAATGGGGTCCCCCGATCACCGATCGCGATTCGATAGTAGCGTCTTGCGCGCCTGAGTTTGGTCCCCCCGCGGCTCCCCAAAAGCCGCGCACCAAAGGTCACTCTTACCCAGGGTCACTCTTGCGTGTAGCCGATTGGCGCGGGTGCGCGGCTGGCGGCCTCGGGAGGCTACACCTCGGACGGCGGCGCCGGGGAGGTCTGCCCCATCTGCCAGAACGACATCGTCGTCCGGGTGGCCTTCCGCCCCTGCGGTCACGCCCTGAGCCGTGTCCAGGGAGCTCAGAGGAGGGCGCTGCCGATTTTGTTTGTGCTGGCAGAGCGGTGCTCGTTCCGTGTTGTCGACGTTCGGGTTGCCGTTCTCCCCTTCAGTTTTGAGCTTTGCTTTCGATTGGTATTTCCTTATTGTTGCTTTCAACTCTAGATCCGGCTTGCTCTCTCTCTGTTGTTTCGTTTCCTGTCTCTGTGACACCAATAATTAAAACACATGCGGAATGATCGTCAGTTATCTCTCCGAAGTCACGGATGCGTTCCAAGTACGCCCTCGGCTCCCACAACCGTTGATCATGTTCGAACAGTTTCTTCAATGCCTTTGGCACTCCGCTTCCCACAGCCGTTTGACACGCCGTTCCCTGTCCGTGTTTGCCTCTCGTACGATTAGTTTTTGTCCTGGTCGTGAGTTTCCCTTTCCCGCTTGTTGTGACCAGTTGCAAGCAGAACAGTCGAACACGAAACGCATATACGCGCCCCCGTCGATGCCTTTGAGAGCAGCTGAGGCCACACCGCATGCCGCGACTGCGTGGGCCGCGTGGTGGAGATCAACCAGCGGTGCCACATCTGCCGGGCGTCCATCGAGGGCGTCCAGCCCGTGTACATCTGACCCGCAATTTCGGACGCAACTCCTGGGAGGTCAAATTCTGATTCAGCCCTGGTCCGAGATCCGGCTCCATCGGGCTTAATCCCGCTTTATCCGGTCTAATCCCGCTTAATCCCGCTCAATCCGGCGCAATCCCGCTTAGTCCGAGGCCCGCTCCAGCGCAACAGCCCCCCAACGGTGTTGAATCTTTCTTGATCCTTCCGACGAAGACCTCCCAGTATCGGGGGAGCGTAAGACCCGGGTTTGCCAGGACTCGGGTTCGCCATCGCTTTTTGACGACCGCGACTCGGATTTTGACGAGCAGGAGTTTCGTGGGATGTCTGCAGCGGGAGGCCTCGTCAAAATGCAGGCTCGGCCTCGTCATTTTTTCGACGACCTCGTCGGGGATTTCCGAGTCCCCCGTACCCGGGTCTTACGCCCCTCCTGACAGTAGCTGCCTCCGAACGCCATGCCGCGGGCCCTCATCAGACTCGGCGGAGTGCCAGGGCTTGGACAGCGCCGGCCCTCTCGCCCGGCCCGGGCCCGCTCCACGTCGGTCGCTGGACCCCTCCCGGGGTCCATGCCGACCCGTTGTTGGTTTTCGGACTCCCGCAGCGGTGCGGTGACAGACCGTGCGATGACCCCGAAATCCTCCAAGGCCTCACCGCACGGTCCGTCACCGCACGGTTTCGGGGCCTCGGAGGCCCCCGTCGCCCGAGACGTCTTCGGAGAGGGACTCGCGTCCCAAGACCGTGCGGTGACCCCGAATCCCCACCGACTCGCCACACGGCGTGGTCACCACCCCGTTTGGGGGCCCCCGAGTTGGGGGGGACCGGCCGTGGCGACGAGAAGCCCCCGGGACCCCAGGAGGCCCAGGAGGCCCCTGGGCAGGAGATGGCTCGTGCAGGCTTGTGCCCATGAAGTTGACGTTGCGGCTGGACCTAAACGGTGTTTTGGTAGCGATTTCGTGGGCCGTTTTCGTGCCGATTTTGTTTTGCGGCAAAGGCGGATTGAAGACAAAACGAGGGAAAACGAAAATTAGCTTTTGCGAATACCATCTTCGCCCACGTTTCCTATGTGGCCACGGCTTCCCGCCGGAGCCCGACATGCTCAGGGACACGTTCGCGGCCGTCTTGGCGGGCGCCGACGACGACGAGGACGGCGCCCCTTATGGGGCCACGAAGCGTGTGAGAGGTGTACCGAAATGGCCCGAGGCCGCCATGCGAGTTCCGCCGCTGGGACCTTAGGTGGACTTCCCTATGGGGCCACGAGCATGTAACGGGTGTGCCAAAATCGGTGCGGGGACCGCATGCGAGTTCCGCCGCTGGGATCCTGGGTGGAGCTTACTATGGGGCCAAGAAGCGCATGAAAGGATGTGCCGAAATGGCTCGAGGCCGCCATGCGAGTTCCGCCACTGATTGGGACCGTAGGTGGAGTTCCCTATGGGGCCACGATCCCCGTGAGGGGTGTGCCGAAATGGCCCGGGGCCGCCATGCGAGTTCCGCCATTGGGACCTTAGGTAGAGCTCCCTATGGGGCAACGAAGCGTAAGAGCGGTGTGCTGACATGGCCCGAGGCCGCCGTGCGAGCTCCGTTATGGGACCTCAGGTAGAGCCCCCAAGGGGGCCACGAACCGTGTGAGGGGTGTGCCAAAGTGGATGCGGGGACCGCATGCGACTGCCGCCACTGGGACCTTAGGTGGACCTCCCTGTGGGGCCACGAAGCGTGTGAGGGTTTTGCCAAAGTGGGTGCGGGGACCGGCTGCGAGTTCCGCTACTGGGACCTTAGGTGGAGCTCCCATGGGGCCACGGAGCGTGTGAGGGGTATGCCAACATGGGTGCAGGGACCGCATGCGACTTCCGCCACTGGGACCTTAGGTGGAGCTCCCTGTGGGGCCACGAAAGGTGTGAGGGGTGTGCCGAAATGTGTGCTGGGACCGCATGCGACTTCGGCCACTGGGACCGTAGTTGGAACTCCCTATGAGGCCACGAAGCGTGTGAGGGGTGTGCCAACATGGGTGCGGGGACCGCATGCGAGTTCCGCCACTGGGACGTTAGGTGGAGCTCCCTATGGGGCCACGATGCGTGCGAGGGGTGTGCCGAAATGAGCGCGGGGACCGCCCACTGGGACCTTAGGTGGAGCTCCCTTTGGGGCCACGAAACGTGTGAGGGGTGTGCCAAGAGGGGTGCGGGGACCGCATGCGAATTCCGCCAGTGGGACGTTAGCTGGAGCTCCCAATGGGGCCACGAAGCGCTGTGCTGGGTGGTGCAAGGGGCAGAGGCAAGGAGGGTGAGGAGGGGAGGTAGCGGGAGGAGAAGGAAGGAAGGATGACGCGTGCGCTGTCTTTTCAAAGCGAGGACCGAACACCACAGGATGGTTTGGAACTAAACGAAAACGAAAAACACCGTTTAGATTCAGCCCTGTTTGACGTCTTGTGTTCGCAACACAAAAAACGAAGGGCGCCGTGGAGGGGCGCCGTTGTCTCGGCGGGCCATCCTCCGACAACAGGAGAGTAGTACTTCTGATCGCCGCGGGGGTGGACCTCCGCCTTCCCCGGCCACACATCGGGGGCGGCAAAGAGGGGGGTGATGACGGGGGTGGTGGTGGAAATCGTGGCGTGGGCCATGATATTTCCCCCGATTTCGTGGCGCCTCTTCTTGTTTCATTACGTCCCTGGTCTCTCCTTTGGGCCGCGCGCGTGCCACCGGCCATGATTTGCACCCCCCCCTCTTGGACGCCCCCCTCGTGGTCGCCCCCGAATGCTGCCCGGAGCGCGGCCAGGGTCGGGGGCGCCGAGGAGGGGGATGAGGTGTCGGGGGGTTCGGTTGCAAAGCGTGGAAGCCTTATGTGGCCGTGTAGTTCCGTCTTCAGTGTGCGCTAGCATCGATTAGCGTCTGGCAACCGATAAGGTCGTGCCGATGCAGCGTCGATCAGCGTCGGGTCAGCGTCGTTCAGCGTCGAGCAGCGTCAGAGTCAGCTCAATGGCCTGGGATACCCTCATGAGTTGCCACCGAAGGGGGGGAGGGGGGGCAGATATCAGGGCCGCGGCCATGGCATCTCCAAGACCCAAGAGGGGAAAAGGCAAATAGACACAATTAATCGACGACTCCCAGGAACAAATAGGAAACTATACGAAGTCGGGGGAAAGACGAAAGTCCAGAAAATAGGGGAAGATATGGTACAATCCTGGGATGTGTGTATTTATTTGAGTGTCCAAGGGCTCCTTCAATGACATTTGCATTTCTGTGGCCCCCTTCTTCTTTCGAAGCTATAGGTTCGTGTCGTATTGATTCGGCGACGACCGCACCGCGGGCGTTCAGAGTTGATTGTCGCCAGCGGTCTCCGCCATTGAACGATCTGTGCTCCATGGGGCCACGAAGCGTGTGAGGGGTGTGCCAAGATGGGCGGGGTGGGCGCGTGCGAACGCTTGCATTTCGGACTTGCGGTGGGGCTCCCTGAGGTGCCACGAAGCGTGTGAGGAGTGTACCAACATGGGCGCGGTAGGCGCATGCGAACGCTGGCATTTTGGCCTTCGGTGGGGCTCCCAAAGGGGGCCACGAAGCGTGTGAGGGGTGTGCAACAATGGGTGCGGTGGGCGCATGCGAACGCTGGCATTTTGGCCTCTGGTGGGGCTCCCAAAGGGGGCCACGAAGCGTGTGAGGGGTGTGCAACAATGGGTGCGGTGGGCGCATGCGAACGCTGGCATTTGGGCCTGCGGTGGGGCTCCCTATGGGGCCGCGAAATGTGTGAGGGGTGTGTCAAAATGGGCGCGGTGGGCGCATGCAATCCCTGGGGTTCGGCCTTCGGTGGGCTCCCTATGGGGCCGCGAAGCGTGTGAGGGGTGTGCCAAAACCCGCGCGGTGGGCGCATGCGAACGCTGGCATTTGGACCTTCGGTGGGGCTCTCAATGGGGCCACGAAGCGTGTGAGGGGTGTGGGTGTGCCAAAATGGGCGCGGTGCGCGCGCGCGCTCCATCGCTAGCATTCGGGCCTTCTGTTGGTCACCTTACGGGGCCACGAAACGTGTGACGGGTGTGCCGAAATTGGTGCAGTGGGCGCATGCGAACGCTGGCATTTGGGCCATCGGCGGGGCTCCATATATGAGGCCACGATGCGTCAGAGGGGCGTGTCAAAATTTGTGCGGTGGGCGCATGCGAACGCGGGCATTTGGACCTTCGGTGGGGCTCCCTATGGGGCCACGAAGCGTGTGAGCGGTGTGCCAAAATGGCTGACTAGTTCGAAGGGCAGAGAGGCAGGGATCGGAGGAGCATGGAGGAGGGCGGAGGGGGCACTGGGAGTGAGGTGACGCGGGGCGCTGTCTCTTAAAAACGAGGACCCAACACCACAGGATGGTTGGGAAAAACGCATCTGAAGCCCGTATCCCCCCTCCGACCCGAAATTCGGGTCTTCGGTCTGGGTTGGGGTGGTCTGGTAGGCGGTCAGATCTGCCTGTATCTGCCTCGACTCATCTGCAGCCAACTCGACCTGCCTGGCCTGATCCCCACGAGTCGCTGGGCGAACGGCCGTCAAGCCCTCGTCGGGAACCCTCCTCCGGCGCACCCGACGAGCTGCCCGCGCGGCCGCCCCGCGCGCGAGCAGCTGCCGACGGCCCGCCGCGCGCGCGACCGGGGCTGCCGCGCTGCCGCGCGGCGCGGGCGGGGGCGACTCCGACGGCCGGGCGGCTCCGACGGCCGGCCGGCCGCGGAGCCGCCGCGCGGCACAGGCTGGTCAAGCAGTGGCGAAGCGTGCTGGCTCGCCCTGAGGCCTACCAAGAATGTTCTAATAACGGTTTGTGGTTGCAGCGAAATGTTCTTACGGTAGGTTCGCGTCGTGTCGACCAGCGGCGACCCCAGCGCGGGCGTTCAAGGTTGAACGCCGCCGGCGACCCAGAATCGATCGATGTTGAACGATCGGACGTTGCGGCAGCGGCCGATCGTTCAAGGTTGAACGATCCCCGCGGTGTCAAAAACCAACGCTGGGGTCGGCACGACACGAACCTGCCGTAGAACATTTCTGGTTAGGACTGTCTTGTTTTAGCACATCGGGTTTGTGATCTAAGAACTGGGCTGTTGTTTTTAGAACGTTTTCGGTGTTCTAAGAACATTCGTGGTAGGCCTATAGGAATGCCAGTACGGTCGGTC